CGGGCTCAGGCAATCCACTCACCTCAGCCTCCCAAAGGCGCGGGATCACAGGCTGAGCCACTGAGCCCGGCTATGAACTCCACTGTTAACACACTACAGAATATTTTGCAGATGCTAGAAAATACGGGAAATCTGAATACACCAACCCGAACTGCCCAAGAGCACTGCTGCAAAGCAGTGCACAACGCCTCCACTCGCCCTCCTGCCCTGCTACCTCACTACAGGCCTGTGGATTTCCTCTAGGTTCACAGCCATGCCTTTAATGCATGTCACAGTCCTGAAAAGACACTCCCAAACAGGGACACTAGAGGAGACTGAGGTGAGGGAGGGGATCAAAGGGAGCGTTAGTCTCCTCTGTAGTGTTTTCACTTTCTATAAGAAGAATCTGCACATGGAATTTAAAACGAGTGCATCTAACTTAACACTAATAGTAAAAACCAGCTCAAGGAGGCCTGGAATGTTCCGGGCTTGCAAGCTCTTTGGGGTCACTTAAGAGTTTTCAAGTCAAGCCATCTGTTGCCTGGTGAAAATGGATATGTGGGGAGTTGGGAGTCATGTCCTCACCTGGTGTTCCCATCTGGTTCCATGACCTAGAAGGATCCCATCCCCTTTCCTGACCTCAGTGTCCTCATCTGCCCAATGGGAATCAGATTTCTGTGTTACCCGGGGATGTGGGAGGAAGGAGAAAGGGCATCGCATGAATGTGAGGGATTATTCTGGAGTCAGGGGAGGAGAAGGATTGAGGCCTCACTTCCACCTGCCAAGCCCACAAGGGCGCAAAGGAAGTGGGGGAGGAGCTGGGACCACCCAGGCGAGCACAGAGTCCATCTGCAGGCCAGGCACACGTTGTCAGCAGCTGGAAGGCCGGGCCTGGATGGCTTACAGGCCAGAGCTGGTAGCAGCCACCCAGGCTGCTTGAAGAGTCAGAACACTGGGCCTCAGTGCAGCCACAGCCCTGTCACAACCCCAAGCCCCCATCATCACCCTCCCACCCCAACACACACACACACCACCCAGGCGACGGTGCACACTCGCCCCTCTCCGCCTAGCCTACCCAGAGTGGAGGGAGCTTTTGCAAGGTAGATCCAGTTGTATCAGTGCCTGCTCAAAACCCCCAGTGGCTTCTCCCCATCTGAGGCCTGGTCTCAGAGGGAATCCACCTTAGAATTCTGGCTCTCCCATACTTACCTGGCAGGGGAGATACCATGATCACGAAGGTGGTTTTCCCAGGACGAGGCTTATCCATTGCACTCCAGATGTGTTGACTTCTGCGATTTCCCCAAATGTGGGAAACTCGACTGCATAATTTGTGGTAGTGGGGGACTGTGTTCGCGCTCTCCCCCCCCCAAAAAAAAACAAAAACAGAAAAAAATTAAAAAATTATAAAAAGGAATTCTGGCTCTTCCCATAACTCACTTGAAAATGTCTAACGAGTGCCTCTTATGGGCTGGGCACTGTTTTGGACATTTGGGATGCAACAGGGAGCGAGTGAAGCAAGGGTTTCTGCCCTCAGAAGCCTCCTTTCCACAGAGGGAGATTAATAACTGAATGATACAACATGCTGGGAGGTAACAAATACTATGAAAAAAAGCAGAGCAGAGAAAGCCGTCTAGGGGGTACTGGGAGGGACGGGAGCTGTATTTTTAAATATAAGGTGATTAGGGTGGCCTCACTGAGAAGATGATATCTGAGGAAAGATTTGTAGGAGGCGAGGGAGGGAGCCATGTAGATGTCAGGGGAAAGAGCAGGCAGAGGGAGAAGTCAGTGCAAAGGCCCTGAGGTGGGGCCAGGCCTGGCTTGTTTGAGAACCAGCAAGGAGGTGGGAAATGACTTGGAAAGGCAGGACAGGTCATGCATGGCCCCATGAGTCTCAGTGAGGAGTCTGGCTTTGACTGGGTGAGATGGAAGCCTTGGGGAGTTTTAACCACAAGGGAGTGGGGGCAGGCACTGCAGGAAGGAGAGAAAGCCAGGCAGGGCTGTGCTCTCAGCCAGTGTGTGGATGGCGGCGTCAGCCTGGTCCCACAGGGGAATGCTGGCATGTAAGCAATACCTTGAGTCATCCACCCACACCCCAGGCAAGGAAGAAGGGTTTCCGTGCCCCTGAGACCACGGGGTGGAGGGAGGGCTACCCCCTCAAAGGCTTCGGTGGCCAAGGGCAGTCTCCCTAAGGAGAGATGCAGGTGCTCAGCATCAAATGGGATCCCTGGAAAGGGATTTTCGGGGATGTGTGGGGCATCGTTCCCTATTCACCATATCCCTTCTGGCCTGACTTGGGGTGGCCAAACATGGGGGCACACCCCAGTGTGACCAGGTAGAGGTTTTCTGGTTAGATAAGACTTAAGGACCACCCCACCCGGAGCTTGGGTCTCCTCTGCAATACCCAGACCATATGACCATCTAGCTGCCACTTATCTACCTCCCGTGACGGGGAACTAGTTACCTTTGAGTTGCTGTTTGTCTTTGGATACTTTGGACTCTAATAAGTCCCACTTCACATTGAATCTATGCAGTCATTCCACCAATGCAGTCATTTCATCGACGCTGACTGAGCATCTATTGTGTTCACCATTCTGGTGAACAAGACAGACAGGTTCCCACCTTGAGGAGCTCACAACTAGAGGGGGAGATGTGTAGAGAAAAAAAGGCAGGACAGAGAGTGCGGAGATGAAGGACCTCAGGAAGCTGGAGGCCCAGAGGGACGCCTGACCCTGGCAGGAGGTGACACCAAGCTGAGAAGTGAGGGAAGTTACCAGGAAATAAAGGCTTGGGAGACATTAACCCAGGTGATGGAGGAGTGTGTAAAAAGACCCTGAGAAGCCCCTCCTTGGCCCCCACCCCACTGTTGCCCCTTGGCCCCGGGGCCAGCCTCTCTTGCCTGGACAATTGCAGCAGCCTCCTCCCAGGTCTCTCACAGAGGGGCAAAAAAACTGGGCCATGCAGTCACTCTTTTCCTGGTACGTGTTCACTTGGTGAGCATTCTCCACTCAGCCTGTATCTGTAACAGAAGAAGCCACAGGCACATGCAGTGTCTGCCTGTGGCCTCGGGGGAGGGCCTCATGGATTTTGGGTGGGGCCCCGCCAGTGCCTTCCAGAGCCCTGTGTGCCTACCTTCTCTCCTTGATCATTCTGTTCTACATTCACTGGCTATTCCCCCAGATCTCCGCATGGCCCACCCCCTCACCTCTTCCACATCGCTAGAGTGCCACCTCCTCCAAGATGCCTCTCTGGATACCACATCTCAAATAGCTGCTCCATCATCCTCTCCCCACCTTGCCCTGTGGCACTTTATAGCACTTTTCACCATTCACTTATTTACATGTTGACTATCTCTCTCTCTAGACCAGGAGACTAGGGGTAAGGACCTTGTCTGATTTTGCTTATGGCAGAATCCCTGTCACAGGGCCAGGGAAGTCAATATACATCTGTGAGATGATAAACCAGGTGATCTCTAAGTCTTTCTGGGTTTGACCATCTCAAAGCCTTGGAGATGACTATGACTCCCCTCCCCCAATACTTCCAGTAGCTAAAGGGTTTCTCTAAGGGCCAGTCACTACCAAGAAGCTGCTAATGTGGGAGCCTCTGTCAGCCCCTCCCACCCACCTGATAGGGGTCAGGGGTCAACCTGCTCCAGCCCTCTCTGGGCCCCAAGGTGGAGCAGACCCAGTGCTGGAGTCCAGGCCTTGGGGATGCCTGGTGAGCCCCATTTCTCCTTTGGCAAATGTCCCCCATTCCTTCACAGGGCCTGTGTCTGCGTTTCTGAACCAGAAGGTGTTTACACAAAACATCCTGGGTTTGGCGACAAATTCACCCTCAGTGAGGAATCCTCAATGAATCTCCCTCCTTTCCCACACCAGGTGGCTGCAGGGAAGATTAGCTCTGCCTCCGGCAGCTGAAGGCAGCCAAAGGCGGGGCACAGAGCAGGTGCAGCTGGGCTTCAGGGGCCACAGTTTGGGGAGGGTTTTTCCAAGTCCAGAGGCAGCTGTGGTGTGGACACCAGAGCACTCCCAGACTCTCCTGGCTTGCTGTGTGCGGAGGCACTGCCCTTTCTCTGGCCTCAGTCTCAGTTCTGAAACGGTACAATAATAATCCCATCCATCAGGTTGGTTTGAAATTCAAGTAAGGCAAGGGCTTGATTACAGGACGTCAGAGGGGAGAATAAAGTGTTGAAATCAGGGAGGCAGGAGGTCAGAGTTCTATCAGCTCTGCGTTGACTTTTCAAAGTCCTCACTTCTCTCTCTGATCCTTGGTTTTTCCAGCTGTGCAAGGAGGGGTTTGGGTATGCTGGTCACTAGAAAACCCTCTGGTTCTGATGGCAGCCATGTTCCATCTGCCTGTCTCCTATGGGAAGTCCTCCTGTCTTGTGGACCACACCAGTTCGCTCTTCTGAGCTAGCATGTCATTGCTCATCGCCCATAGTTGTTCAGACCCTTCCCTGGGCCTAGGCCAACTACTCTGGACATTGGGCCCAACACAAGGGCTCAGCTGAGCAGAGGTCAAACTGAATTAAAAGTGATTCCTGTCTCCTTCCGGTCCTGTGGAGAGACCCTGAGGGGGATTTTTATTCACCTCCACTTTATAAACTTTACAAACTGGAAACTCACGGTGTCAGAGGTTAAAGATTAGCCACACTGCCACATGGGCCTTCTTGGTGTTCCTTAAACAGTGTAAGAATGATTTACACTTCTCTGGTCTCGATCACTGCCTGCGATAGTATATAACTATTTGTTTTGTCATTAACTGTCGGTGTTTTCCACTAGAATGAAGGTATTTGTTTTTATTCACGGCTGCATCCTCGACACCAAAAGTCTGCCTGGCACATAGCAGGTACTCAAGAAATATTTGAAGGGCGAGAGGAAGGGTAAGAGGTAGCATTCCGGCTGAGCACTCCGGGCCTGCAGAGGGCGCTCCAGCCCCGCCCCAGAGGTAGCCCCTCCCCTCGCGTCCGCGGGAGGGCGTGCGCCGGAGCCTGCGCGCGGCCTTCCTCCTTCGAACTGCGCAGGCGCACCGGAAGACCGTCAGAGCGGCGCGTGCGCGCAGGGGCCCGAGCGAGGGCGAAGCCGGCGGCGCCATGCTGTCCCCCGAAGCTGAGCAAGTGCTGCGGTACCTGGTCGAGGTGGAGGAGCTCGCCGAGGAGGTGCTGGCGGACAAGCGGCAGGTGGGAGGCCAGCGCCGGAGCGCGGGGTCGCGGCGGGTTGGCCCGGGCTGCGACGCGACAGTCGGAGCGCTCGTGACGTAACGGGTCAGAGGCCTGCCCAGCGCAGCGCGTCGCTCGGGCACGCGCCGGCGAAGCGAGCACCGGCTGCGCGCGGGGCGTCCCCTCCTTGCGTCCTCCCGGTCCCTCGGCGTGCCCCCCGGGTCCCGCCTGTCGCGCTCCGGCTCCGGCCCTGAGCACCTGTTAGGAAGTGTCGCTTCCGGGTCGCCTCCTTGGTCCAGGCGCCCCGGCCAGCCCCGCCCGTCCGCTCGCGAGCAGAGGGGCCGAGGGCCCGGCGAGTGGCGGGAGCGTGGGGGCGGGGCCCGCGTGGGGGTTGTGGGGAGCGTAGGTCACGTTGCGAGGTAAGTGCCGCGTCTTTGGGGGGGCTCGTGGGGGAGGGAGGTGAGGTAGTTGGCTTTGGATTTTCAGAGGACCCCGCTGGCCGCTGTGTGGAGTCCGCCATGCAGGAGGGCAAGGCCGGAGGCCGGCGGGCCGGGGCCTGGCCCTTGCCGTGGCCCGGAGGGGAGTGGGGTTGGGACGAGGTGGTGGAGAGGAGTGAATGGGTTAGCGCTACATGCTGGAGCCGGGTTCGGCGGGCTGTGATGCCGGTCCTACAAGGGCTGAGGGCGCCGGAGCCGTGACTCCTGGGCACCTGCAGGTGGAACGCGTGGGTGGCTGGTCGGGTGTTTGCTGAGGAGAGGAGAACTTGGAAGAGGCTGTCAAGTTAAATGCTGGCCCAAGGTACGCTGGATGAGAGTCACCGCAGTTAAAGTGTGTCAGGCCGACTGTGTGTCGGGTCCTGGGTTAACTCATTTCGTCGCTGGCCTAATTACTGATCCTGTGTTCATTTTTCAGAGGAGCACATAGAAAGGTGGGCAGCTCATGGCAGGCAGCAGGTTTCAGGCAGGGGTGTCCAGTCTGAGCCAGCACGCCCACGTGGCGCACTACACAGCCTCCTCACCTCCTTAGTGGCTGTTGTGTGTTATCGCCACCCCCTGTCCCCCTGCCCCTGCTGCTCATCTAATATTATTGGTTTTTAATAACACTAGGTCAGAATCCCCTGGAAAAGTTTGTCCGAAAATAGAGCTTCTTAGGCCTGGTGAATCACAGGGTAGGGGAGGGCTTTCCACTCCCCTGGTGGCTCTGATGGGCCCTACAGTTTGAATGGTTGGTACCCAGTCACCTGTTTTGTCAGCAAATGGTTTCCCAGAACCTCTCGGGGGAAGACACCTGCCCAGAGCATTGTCCTAAGGACCTGGAAACTGTGTGGGAGAAGAGATACATTCACACATGAGTCTGTTGTAGGACATTGGCATGATGTTTTGACTCTTCAGCCCCTTGTCTGTCAAGAGGTGACAGGTGAGGACAAGAGGTGGCTGAGTTCGCTGCTCCTGTGGTTTTCAGATTGTGGACCTGGACACAAAGAGGAATCAGAACCGAGAGGGCCTGAGGGCCTTGCAGAAGGATCCCAGCCTTTCTGGTAAGTGAGACTTCCTCACTTTAGCCTGGAGGCCTGTTGAGTAGAGGCCAAACAGGAGGCCATAGGTGTGTGACTCAGCCTTGTGGGAAAAGAAACAGCAGTGGAGATGGGGAGCGAGTGTAGTGTGTCTGATACAAACTGGCTCAGGATTTCAGCTGCTTCTTTCCACAATAGGCATTGGCTCCTGGCTCATGGACGAGGGTCAACACTGTAGACAAGCGACAGTTCCTGCCTTGTGCTCTACAGATGAGGAAAAAGCATAGTCAAAAAGTTTGAGAAGGCTAGAGACAGACTTGGCCTGGGGTGGTGTTGAGACTGTCTGGGAGGACGGAGCTCATTGGGTGGGGCCTTGTGACTCTAGCAGAGTAAGCAAGGGGGCAGAGACCAGGCCTCAGGAAGGCCTTGGGCCAAGAAATTTGCATCCTGTTGAACGTCTGGAGCGTGCAGGACCTTCCCATTGCTTCTCACAGGAGTGAAATCTCGAGTCCTACAGGATTCCACCTGACCCATTCCCCCATGGACCCTCCAGTGTTGTCTCCCCTCACTCATGGCTCTGCCCGCGCTGGCTTCCTTGCTGTTCTAACCCCAAGCACTACTGGTCTTTGCTGTTCCTGTTGACTCTGGCCCTCTCCAGTGCTATCTGCGGGGCTCACTTTCTCTGGGTCTCTGCCGAGATGTCACATTATCAGCATGGCCTTCTCTGTCTACCTAGTACAAGTGACACCTCCCTTCCCAACTCAGGCGTTCCCTATCCCTCTCAGCCTGCTTTGTTTTTCTCTTCAGCTCTTATCAGGGTCAAATCATCTATTTATTTGTTTATTTCTTCTACTATGACATGAACTTCATGAGGGCAGGAACTTTGTCTTATTGTAAAACAACGCCTGACAGATAGTAGGTGCTCAAAAAAGGATATTTGTGAAGGAATGACTATTTCCTGTTTTAGAAGATGTGATGGTTTGCTTCGGGAGCATGTTTATCAAGATGCCGCACTCTCAGACAAAGGAAATGATCGAGAAAGGTAAGCACTCCTGGGGATGAGTCAGGAATGTGGCTGCCTCTCCCAACAGCTGCAGTTGTAACCGAGAACCAAGAGTCAGGCTTTAGGCAGCTTGATGAGAGACCGCTGTGTTATAGGGGTTGGAACAGTGTGGGTTTTAATCCCAGCTCTGCCACTTTCGGTTGTTTCCTCAGCTCTAAAAGGGGGATGTATCTGCATGGCACAGTTGTTTTGAAGTTGAAATGAAACAGTATGGTGCCTAGTAGACTAGTGCCTGTCTATCAGTGAGGAGCAGGTTGGACTACAAGTAACAAAACCCAACAAATTGAGACTAAAGGAAATATGGCTCCGTTTTCTTTTTTTATTTTTTATTTTTGAGTTGGAGTCTTACTCTGTCACCCAGACTGGAGTGCAGTGGCACGCTCCCGGCCACCGCAACCTCGACCTGCTAGGCTCAGGCCATCCTTCCGCCTCAGCCTTCCTAGTAATCGGAACTACAGGTGTGTGCTACCACACCCGGCTAATTTTTCATTTATTATAGAGATGAGGTCTCACCAAGTTGCCCAGGTGGGTCTCGAACCTGTGGGCTCAGGCAATCCACTGACCTCAGCCTCCCAAAGTGCTGGGATTACAGGCTGAGCCACTGAGCCCGGCATGGCTCTGTTTTCCTCGTGTAAGAGGCTGTCCAGAGGTGTGCGGTCCAGGACGGGCACAACTGCCCAGCAGTGGTGCCTTATTATGTTCCCATGTGGTTGTATCATCATTGCAGGCTTCATGTCCTTATGCCAGGCTATGTAGAAGGCAGGAGGCCTTCTCCACATAGGGCCTTGCCTTCTGTCTGGAAATAAGGCCATTCTCCCAAAGACTTCCTGCCAGCATCTCACTGGCCAAAACTAAGTCACATAGCCACCCATAACTGCAAGGAAACCCCGGAGAGGGTTTTTGTTTGTTTGTTCTGCTTTTCACATCCCCTGCAGTAGAAACTGGGTTGAAAATGGAGGTTTAGGGAGAATGAACCGTTAGGTCTGCCACAGCCTGGACACTTAGTGTACTCAAACTTCCATAACCATGATCCTGGGAGTTCTTTGGAGAAGCAAATAAAAGCAGAAGAGTCAGGCTGCAAACGGATCCTTGGCTGGGAGAAAGGCAGGTTATACATTTTTTTCTTCCTTATCATTGAAAATGTATGGCCAGGAGAACCGGCAAGGTTGCCTCTGCCTCGTGAAACCATAATCCTAACAGAGGAAACTAGATCCAGCATGTAGGAAAAGTTTCTAGCTGTTCTGTCAAACATGGACTGCTCTTAGAGTTATAAAGTTAAAAGTTGTCATTGCGCTTGATGGTGGACTGGAGGCTACATGGGCCTAAGCTTTCAGAGGGGTCACTTGGCTGGGTCCAGGATCTGGTCCTCAGCTCACATGTGGTCTTGTCACTGCCAGGAGGGCTTTTGGGACATCTTCAGGCTTCTGAGGAGTCAGCATAGCTAAGCAAGCTCATGGATACTGGAGTTACTTGTTGACAATGAGAAATAGAATCACTGACTAGGCCACAGGACTTCTCCCCATCAGAAAGAAGCGAAGTGTGGGGGAAGACAGACCAGCCAGAATGTCACTTGTGAGCAAGTGGACCTTAGTCACCCCAGGACAGTCCGTGATGCTAGCATGCCCTTTTCTGTTTACAGTGGCTAATTGCACTTGAGTGTTAGGCTTGCCCATTGACTGTTTAGGTCACATGTTTCTATAGTCATGCTTTTCTAAAAACTCCTCCTCACCTTGGTGGACTTGGGTTTACAGAATTCCTCAACCATCTATTTTCCAGCTGTCTATGGTAGGCTGGGCCATTTTATTTCTGCATTTGAGTTTCCTCTGATTTCACCATGGAAGGGTGGCCAGAAGTCCTGATGTTGCCTTCCCCAGCTACTGACCACCTATTGCCTAATGCAAAAACAGCGTAATGCCGGAAAGGCAAGGGGCCTGGTGTATCCGGGGCTCTCTGTGGGTTGTCCTGAGCAGGCCATGTCGCTTCTAGCCCTTAGCACTTTCCCGTGGTCACTGATGTGTCTCCTTTTCCTTCTTGAATGCTACCTGGGAGAGGCTGGTGTCTTGTCTGTCTGTGGTATAATCTTGTCCTCTGTCCATCTCATTTTTTCAGACCAGGATCATCTGGATAAAGAAATAGAAACACTCCAGAAACAACTTAAAGTGAAAGTCAACCGCCTTTTTGAGGCCCAAGGTATTGGCTTTGTGGGGACCGAAAACCAGGAGAGGGGAGAACCATTAGCACAGACTTTGTTTTTTTTGTTTTTGGTTTTTTTTTGAGTTGGAGTCTTACTCCATTGCCCAGACTGGAGTGCACTGGCTGCTCCCGACCACCGCAGCCTCGACCTGCTGGGCTCTGGCGATTCTTCCGCCTCAGCCTTCCAAGTAGCTAGAACTATAGGTGCGCGCTACCATGCCCGGCTAATTTTTGACTTATTGTAGAGATGAGGGCTCGCCAAGTTGCCCAGGCGGGTCTCGAACTCGCGGGCTCAGGCAATCCACTCACCTCGGCCTCCCAAAGTGCAGGATCACAGGCTGAGCCTCTGAACCCGGCTTAGCACAGACTTTGAAGGGCAGGAGGGGAAGTCCCTCAGAGGTGGGCAGTGGCTTGGGCAGCATGTGAGTGGCACTGGCGGGGGTGGGCAGTGCTTTTTTGTAGCTGTCCAGAGATAAATGGACAGAGAGATGTATAGGTTCTCATTCCTGTCACAGCCTCTTTCCAAGTTCCAGATACTGCCTGGGTTATCTCGTATATCTCAGGGTATGGTATGGGGACCAGGATAGTTCTGACAGACAAAACTCAGAAGGCCTCAGTCAGGTGATCAGAATCAGAGCTGAAATTCTGGATAAGCCCAAGCACTCTAGGTTGGTCACCAATCTGGCAAAAATGTGGAGGTCTTTGGGCAGCAGAGTCATGACTTTGCAGGTTCTTGATGACCTGGGAGTGAGTGGTAATGCCTCATCCAGTGCATTGCCAGACGTCAAGGTTGAGTTTGGCAGCGTTAATGCAGCATCAGCCCCTTTCCTGGGCTTGGCTCCAGAGCCAGCAGGAGGCTGGACAGCAGGAGGCCCCATTGCTGATGGGTTGTCTTTCTCCTTTAGGCAAGCCGGAGCTGAAGGGCTTTAACTTGAACCCCCTCAACCAGGATGAGCTTAAAGCTCTCAAGGTCATCTTGGAAGGATGAGACTCAAGAACCAAGATGGGGGACCAGTTACCAGCATCCCCCTTGGGGTCTTGGAGGCCCAGGACCCTCTAACCTTGGAACCTGCAGGGACAGGAGCAGCCTTATGAGGGGACCAGCATCAGGAATGTGTCCAGGCTCCCGTGTGAAGCGTCTCTCTCTGTAGTGCTTAGCTGCTCTGTGACGGCAGAAGGGAATTGTCAGCCTGTCCGTGTTTGCTGGACCTGGCCAGGGCTCAGTGGACACAAGACTTGCTGACAGGGCCTGGCAGCCACTGGAGGACGTGGGAGGCAGTGCCCATGAGGGTGTGAGAATGACTGCGGCAGGCACTTCTCCACAGTGGCCCACTGTTCACAGGGGCCCTGGACGGGAGGTGGGGCAGAGCCGGAGAGTCGTTCCAGTCTTCCTCTGTGAAGGGGGAGAGGCCTCTTCAGGCAGCTGGAATGGAATTGGGGTCGAGAGGAGGTTCCTGGGTGCCTCCCGTGAAGAGCAGCATTTGGCCATGTGGTTCACTGCAGCCACCCCAGGGGCGGGCACACCTTCCCCCACTGCCTCCACTGTCGAGAGTGGTGCTGCTTATCAGCCCAGGGGCCCTGCAGCGTCCAGCACCAGGATGGGCGAGTGGGCCTTGCTGTGCCACACGTGTCAAGGATGCCCCCCACCCTCCTGAAAGGCCCGGCCAGCGCTGCGAGTCCCGTCTGCCTCCCACGGTCTGAGGGCCTAGTGTGAATGTGCCCCAAGGGCAGAACCGTCTTGTCCTCCCTGGGGGCTCAGTAAATTGCAGCTGGATGAATGAACAGTGGCACCTCATCTTTCCTCCTTTGGTCCTTCACCGAGGGCCCACCGCTCCTTGTAGAATACTGCCTGAGAAGGGAAGGTGGCTCTTGCCTTGAAATGCACCTGGGACTAAACAGGCAGTCAGCAACAGTAAGTGGCAGCATGACGAAGGCACACCTGGCCTGGGCCCTCGTCCCACCTGGCTCTGGCCAGTGGGTATATAGAAGCACCGGCTGGTATGGCCAATCCTAAGCTTTTTTAGGGAGAAGCCAGAAATGTGGATTGTTAAGTTGACTCTCCTGTGTTTTAAATGTTGCTTACTAGTTCAGAAGATGTTTAAAGATGTGAGTGTTGTCATACAGAACACTTCACGTGAGCCAGTTTGACCCAGACAGCAGGTTTACATCCTCTAGAGTTTTGTGGAAACGCTGTGTTTTCCCCATGAGAGCCCTAAGAAGAAGGGAGGTGGAACTGGAAGAAAACTGCACGTCCATCCACAGGGACTAAAGGGATCAGTAGCTCCAGACAGAATATCATACAACTGTCAACAAGAACGAGACCAAGCTCCAGGCCACATTATAGTGAGAGAGACAAGCGGCAGGACACGCGACTTGCAAGCTACCTGTCAGCTGCAGGGAGCACAGGGTGGGAGGAATGGACATCTCACCATATACCCTTGGGTAACAGTTTTGAATTTGAAACTACTGGAATGTGTTTATTATTTTAAAATGTAAATAAAGTCAAGAGTTGCAGAATCCATTTGGGCAGGTGTTCTCCAGTATGACCACGAGCCACGATTCCAACCTGGGAACAGTGCCTTTTCCTGCCAGGCAGGGTGGGTGCTCCACCAGAGACAGCCAGTCCGGTTCTTCCTGGAAATATGGACCCTGGAGCTCAGGCCTGGGCTGTCCCCCCTTGCCCTGAGTCACAGGGACGGAGGAAAGTCCTCATGCTGTGGAGGCAGAAGGCCCAGAGTTTCCAGCCTTCCTAAGTCTGCTGGGTCTCTTGGATGTGCTGGTATTTTGCTTCCAAAACTCTCCCCTTGGACCTAACCTAGGCAGTCACATTCTACCATTTGTTGTCAGAAGACTGCCCTGAAGCGGGGAGGGTGGTGGACGGAGTAGGTCTCCCATGAAGCAGCTGGCCCCAGCCCGCTCTTGTTGCAACACTTCCTAGACCAAGAGGAGGCTTGGGGTGCAGGAATGTGAAAAGTGCTATTTTACTTGTACCTGACTCCCCAAGCCATCTTGCCTGTGAGCCCAAGGTTTTCTGGTTTGTAAAGCTCACCTCCCAGCCTCAAACAGGAAGGCCCAGAGAGGCACTGCAGTCACCCATGCCTTACATAAACGTACCTTTGCAGAGACCCTTATGATGCTCTGCCTTTCTGTTTCTTACCTGGTGTCCATCGGAGAAATTGGGATGCTCTGGTCTACTCGTTTTCAGATGGGGTGAGGGAGCCCCATGGGTTCCCCTGACATGCAAGGTTGGGATTGCAAGGAAGAGTGGGTGCATTTAGGACTCAGCATCTCCCCAGGCAGCACACTAATAACTGCTTGCTCTGCAAGTGCAGCTTAGACAGGTTCCTCTTGAACTCTTCTCCCGAAGGATCCTCTCAGCACTGATCTGAGAGACATCCAAGTGTCAAGGCCAGGAGGATGTGACTACAGCCAGCCGCATCCCAAGCCAGGCCCAGTGCCCAATGACTGAGTAAGGCTGTGCTCATTTATTAGAATTGCTCTCTGGGGTAGCAGGACTTGCTGCATTTGTCCTCTTTGGGCCCAACTGCCAAGCAAGTCTATCAAGGTTAAAGTCCATCCAGCCCTGGGGATTGGCTGTCTCAGTGCAGAGCTGTTAGGGGAGGGTGGGGTACCCAGAGGCCCAGTCCAAGTAGCAAGCAGGGGCTGCTGAGCCAGCAATGCTGCTGCCAGGCTGAGAAGGGAGGTGAGGCTGTGAGGTGCTGTGGTGCTGGAATCCGAGTTGGGGGAGGCCCGGAGGTCCCCAGGGGGCCTGGCCATCTTCCAGCAGTTGGGGATCAGCTGGAGGCTTTCTTCTGGACTTGCAGGGAACAGAACAGCTGCCTCAACTGTTCCTTCCGATTGTTGATGCAGCCTGGAAGGGAAGTGGGGTGTTGGCGGGGATGACCTGCCCTTGGGGAGCTGGGGGACCTGGTGGGAGGAGGAGGGGACCACAGGAAGCGTACAGCCATGTGGGGCCTATTGCTTGCTCCTGGCTCCATTCCTGGACCGCGTGGCCCTTGAGCAGGTCCTCTACCTTTTCAGCATCCAGTTTTCATCGAGATCAGGATACAACCACTTGCCTTAAGAAGTGAACATAAGGGTCATCCACAGAAGAAATGTGGATTGGGGCTTAGCTCACACCAGGGGCTACCTTGGGGGCTGAACATGAAGGACTTTGGGGAGCCCTCTCAGGAACAACCTGTGGAAGGGCAAACAGTCTCCGAGGGTAAGCCGTTCGCACCAGGCTGCATGGTGCAGGGGCCACCCTCGTGACCACTGGCCCACTCTGCCTTTCCTCCTGGTTTTGCTCAGTGCACAGTGCCTGGGACCTAACAGGCACCCGGTAATGTCAGCTTTCTTCTCCTACCCAGCCTACGTGCCAGGCACAGTGAGTTTTCCCCACAAGTGGCCCTGGGATCACAGAAATGTGTCCCAGGCAGTCCATCTGAGAGGCACCATGAGCAGCCCAGACACCCCTCTCCCAGCACGTTTATGGGGCACGTTTGCTCCCAAAGCTGATCCTTGAGGTCACTCCATGACCATTTTATCTTGTGCCAGACACACTGACAGCAATGCCACCTGTGTGGCCACAGTGCTGACCTGGCATTGACTGCCATCTTTCTTTTTTGTCTTTTTTTTTTTAGTTGGAGTCTCACTCTGTCACCCAGGCTGGAGTGCAGAGCCCAGTAGGTCACGGCTGCCCCAGCATTGACCTACTGGGCTCTGGCGATCCATCCGCCTCAGCCTTCCGAGTAGCTGGAACTAAAGATGCACGCTACCACGCCCAGGTAATTTTTTTGATTTATTGTAGAGATGAGGTCTCGCCAAGTTGCCTGGGCTGGTCTTGAACCTGCGGGCTCAGGCAATCCACTCGTCTTGGCCTCCCAAAGTGCTGGGATTACAGGCTGAGCCGCCGAGCTTGGCCATCTGCCATCTTTCATAGCACTCCAAACTCTCCTGCTTCTAATGCACTCACTAGCCCTCAGGGCTTCACGGAGCCCAGAAGCCACCGTGCATCTTAGGGGCTTCCAAAGTGAGTTCCTGGAGCCCTGGCTTAACTGCATTGAACCATCCATCACCCCAAGTCTTCGTGTGCAATGCAGACCTCCACTTGACGTTCTAGACTCATCTCTGCGCTACCTGCCGGCCTTGTTCTCTGGGTGTCTTTGGGCACTTCCCTAACTCATCAGTACCCTTCCTATCCCAGCCAGCTCCTCCTGTGTTTACCACCATCCACCCAAATATTCGACTGGAGACTTGGAAATAATCCTAGTGATGCAGTGGCCCTCAACCTGGACTGCATATTCGAGTCACCTGGAAGCTTTTAAAAATGCTGTGCCCAGACCAGCCATATCCTTGTCTCTGGCAGACATCAGTGTTGTGTAAAGCTCCCTGTGATCCCAATATGCAGCCACGCTGGGGAACCATCGTGTTCCGTCTCTGCTGCTCAAGTAAGGGTCTAGGAGCCAGCAGCACTGCTCTCCGAGGTGGTGGTTGGCAAAGCGGGCTACTGCAGTCCCGTTCCTGTGTGTCTGTGTCTCTGCAAGGCTGACTCCTTGTCGAGAGGTGGGATCCATATCTACCTGGGGACAGGGCTGGACCAGCCCACTGCTTTGACCGATTGTAGCAGAGTGCCGTTTTGGGACTTCTGAGTCTTGGCCTCGAGGCTTTGCAAAAATTTCAACATTCGAAGGTAGTAGTACACATTTCAATTTAGTTACATTACTTATAAAAAATAGGGGAAGAAAGAGGCTTTGCAGTGTCTTCTCTTGACTTCTTGGAACCCTGATTCTACCATGTGACTAAGCCAGGGCTGGGCTCTGGAGCACAGGTGGCCCCTGAAAAGGCCCCGCTGACAGCCCGTTTATACTCCTAAGCGTGTGAACGGAGCCATCCCAGGCTGTGATATCTGGATGCCTGCAACCCTGTGAACAACCCCAGGAGGGACTTGAAGAGTCATGAGAAAATAAAAGAATTGTTTTAAGCCGCTAGGTTTTAGGAGAGGGAGTTACACAGCAGTAGTTAGCCAATAGAGCATCACCCAGGAACTTGTTAGAAATGCAGCTGTAGGCCCACCCTGACCTGCTGAATTATCATCTGTATTTTCACAAGATTTCTAGGTGATTGTCTGCACATTAAATTAAGCTTGAAAAGTGTTATATAGTCATCCAAAGCCTTATGCGTTTGGAAAACTGTAAACAACCCATAGAAAAATAGATGGAGAATATGGACCGTTGACAAAAGAAGAAATGCAAATTTTAAAACACTGAAACCTCACCAGAAACCAATGGAATGTACATAAAACATAGTGAGTCAGTACTTTTCACCTCACAAGTCTGCACAGATTTTTTTTAAATTCAGAACTGGCATTTGAATAATCTTTCTGGAAAGCAGTTGGTTGTAATAAGTCCATCCCAGTAATTCTACTTCTAGGAATCTGCCCTAAGGAAAAAGCCAGAATTTCAGTTGAGCTTTGCTGTGAGAGGATGTTCATCCTGGTATTATTTATAAAAGTAAAAAATTGGAATTATGCCAAGTGTCCAATTATAAAAAACTGGTTTAGTAAACATTGGCATATATACAAGCTGAATCACTTTGCAGCCATATGATAATTTTGTTTTTAACTCTGCCAAGGGGCAGAACAGCCTAGCGGTCGAGTGTTTAGGTTTCAGAGTCAGGCAGACTGGAGTTCAAGTTCTGGCTCACCACCTGTAGCCGAGACCTTTGGCAAGTTACGGCATCTGGGACCATTTCCTCATCTGTAAAATGGCAGTAGGTACTGCCTAACCATCAAATGAGATGGCGTGTGTAAAATATTTTGTCCAGATCTGACCAAAGAGCTTCCAAAAGGAAGACTCTTACTAATATTCCTGAGTGGAAAATGCCACGTGGAACAGTGGAACTCAAAACTCCATCCCAATGCCAAGTTTGTAGCAGAAGAAGTATGCATATATGCATTTTTTAAGAACTGGAAGGAAGTGCACCAGATTGTTAAAGACGGTTATGTCTGGTTGTTTTTTTTTTATTTCCTTCTTTAGTTTTCAAATATTCTACAGTGAGTATGAATACTTTTTACAATCAGGGAAATTTTTCACTTGTTAGAAACCACGTTTAAAGTCAAACCCTGGAGTCCTTGATTTCACTTAAGAATGTATTTTTCATTTGTTTTCTATCTAAGCCTTTTGAAATCCACCTCCTGACAGATTAAGAATAGTATCTCTCACTATGTGCCAGGTAGTGTTCTAGGTATATATTGAGAGAGAAACTATTTAATTTCTATTTTACAGATGAGGAACAGAAATGTTAAGTCTCTTGCCCAAGGTCACACAGCTTATAAGTTGCAGATTGAATTCAGAGAGTCTGGCCACTGTGCCAAGCCGCCTCTTAGACTCCTGCACTTCCCATGACCCACCCCTACATACCAAGGTGTGTGTTGGTCACAGAATTTCCTGTCCCTGACGTGTCAGGAGCCCCGTCCTCTCTGCTGACAGGGCCATCATTCCACATGAGGTCAAAGCCCCC